GTTTTTATTTTCCCGTGGTTTTATCTATTTATTTATTTTGCTTTTACATCTATTTTTTTTTTTTTTTTTTTTTTTTTTTTTTATCCTCACCCGAGGATATTTTTCCATTTTTTGTTCAGATAGAGTGGGAGGGAGAGAGAGGAAGGGAGAGAGAGAGAGAGAAACATCGACGTGAAGGGACACATCGAGTGGCTGCCACCCGCACGACCAACCAGGGCCGGGGACAAACTGCAACCAAAGTACGTGCCCTTAGCGGGAACCGAACCCGGGTCTCTCTGTACCGCAGGCCGACGCTCCAACCGCTGAGCCAAACCGGCCAGGGCTACATCTATTTTTAAATTACACTTGACACACAGTATTATATTAGTGTCAGGTGAACATCCCAGTGATCAGACATTATATAACTTACTAGATGATCATCCCTGTAAATCTTGTACCCATCTGACACCATGCATAGTTGTGAGAATGTTATTAACTGTATTCCCCATGCTGTACTTTACATCCCCATGACTATTTTGTAACTACCAATTTGTACTTCTTAATCCCTTCACCTTTTTCACCCATCCCCCAACTCCCCTACCATCTGGCAACCGTCAAAATGTTCTCTGTATGTATGAGTCTGTTTCTGTTATGCTTGTTTGTTTGTGTGTTAGATTCTTTTTTTAAATCCTTGCCCGAGGATATTTTTCCATTTATCTTCAGATAGAGTGGGAGGGAGGGAGAGAGAGAAACATCAATGTGAGAGGGACACATAGATATGTATTTATTGCCATTTTATTGTTCATATTTTTTATTTCTTCCTCTCTTCCTTGTTCTTCTTCCCCTTCTCCTCTTCCTCCTCCTTCTTTTTCTTCTTCTTCAACAGAACTCTTTAACATTTCATGTAATACTAGTTTGGTGGTGATGAACTCCTTTATTTTTTTCTTGTCTGGGAAGCTCTATCATTCTAAATGATAGTTTTGCTACGCAGAGTAATCTTGGTTGTAGGTCCTTGCTTTTCATCACTTTGAATATTTTTTTGCCAGTCCCTTCTGGCCTGCAAGGTTTCTGTTGAGAGATCATTTGATAATCCATGGAAGTTCCTTCTTTGTAACAAACTGCTTTTCTCTTGCTGCTTTTAAGATTCTCTCTGTGTCTTTAACCTTTTGCATTTTAATTATGATGTGTCTTGGCATGGGCCTTTTGGGGTTCATCTTGTTTGGGATTCTCTGTGCTTTCTGGGCTTATATATCTATTTCCTTCATCAGATTAGGGAAGTTATCTGTCATTACTTTTTCAAATAGGTTTTTAGTTTCTTGCTCTCTCTCTTCACCTTCCAGCATCTCCCTGATGTGAATGTTGGTATGCTTGAAGTTGGCCAAGAGGCTCCTCACACTGTTTGTTGGGATTTTATTTTTCTTTTTGCTGTTTTGATGAGATTAATTTTGCTTCCTTATATCCCAAATTGCTGTTTTGATTCCTGGCTTCATCCACTCTACTGCTGATTCCCTCTAAATTATTCTTCATTTCAGTGAGTGCATCATTCATTTCTGACTCGTTCTTTTTTATAGTTTCCATGTCCTTTTTTATGCTGTTGAAATTCTCTCTAAGGTCATCTACTCCTCTTCTAAATTCATCGAGCATCCTCATAACCAGTGTTTTGAACTCCACATCTAGTATATTGTTTGTGTCCATTTTGTTTAGTCTTTTTTCTGGAGTTTTTTTCTGTTCTTTCACCTGAAACATGTTTCTTTGTCACCTTATTTTGGCAGTCTCCTGGGTTTGTTTCTATACATTAAGTAGAACAGCTCTGTCTCCTGGGCTTGGTAGAGTGGTCTAATATAGTAGGTGTCCTGTAGGGTCCAGTGGTACAGCTTCCCGATCACCTGAGCTAGGCACTCCAGGTGCATTCCTCCCACGCCCATGTGGGCTATGTACACCTTCTGTTGTAGTTGAGCCTTGATTGTTGTTGGCATATCAGTGGGAGGGATTTACTCCGAGGCTGATCAATTGCAAGGACTGGCTGCAACCATTGTGAAAAATCAGTTGTGCAATGGCCCACACCATGGAGCAAGACTTATTTCAGTGGGGCTCTGGTGCCTGCTGAGTCCTCCCCTTGACTGTGTCACTTGTGGAGGTGGTTGGGTAGTGCTTCAGTGTGGTCTGAAGATGTCCACAGGGTGCACTGACTCTGGGATCTTCCAGGAGGTGCAGGCCAAGGTTAGCTGCTGCTTGTGTTCTGCCCAGGGCCGGCTGGCATGGGTTATAAAGCAACCTTCAGATGGCTGCTACTTGTGCTGGGCTTGGAGGTGCCCAGAGGAGGCCATGCTGCAAACCAAGGCTGGTTGCTGCTGGTGCCAGGCCTGAGGCCACTTAGGTAGTGTTATGAGGCACTCCAGGACATGTGCTGCTTTTTGAAGAGATTCTATGAAAGTCTGAAACATGAGCCAAGATAGGCCATTCATATGGAAAAGGCAATGGAAATAGCTAGCAAGTTGGTTGGGGTTGGGTCTCAGGTATTACTAGGGCAGGGTGAACGGTGATAGCTAGGTTGATGGAGACTCCTTTATGGTGCCTACCTGCAGACTCTGTGGGAGAAGTTCTCAGAAGAGGAGCACTGACCTCTGCCAGAACTTTCGTCTGGGAGAAAGCTGACGCCTCAGCTCTTGCCCTGATGCTGGACAATTAAGTTCCTTCTTGTATGTCTCTGGTGTCTTTCAAGCTGCTGCCCCAGTGCTGGAGCTCAGAGGGGGTGAGTCAGAGTAAGTCCATGCATGAGCCTCTTAAGAAGAATGCCTGGGACTCCAGAGCCCTCCTTCTCACTCAGCCACTATCCCTGCTAGTTTTTACAGCCAGAAGTTGTGAGGCATCTCTCCCTGGCCCTGGAATCCTGGGCTAGGAGGCCTAATGTGGAGCTGGGACCTCTCACTCCTCACAGGGACCTACGCAGCTGAGATGTTTCTTCTAGTTTTTATTTGCCACATGTGGGTGTGGGACTAGCCTGGTCCTCATCTCTGTCCCTCCTACCAGTCTCAACGTGGCTTCTTTATATCCTTAGTTGTAGGATTTCCATTCAGTTAGATTTCAGGTGGTTCTGAATGATGGTTTTTCTGTAGTTTAGTTGTAATTTTGATGTGGTTGTGGGAGGATGTGAGTACCACATTTACCTACACTACTGCCATCTTGACCAGAAGCCTGTTTTTGATTTTTCACTCAAGCTCTATTAATGTCAGTAATCTGGTTGTTATCAGGCCATGTGAAAACTGGCTGCTGTCACCTGGGTCTAAGAGTTTTGAAAGGAAAAGATATCCTAGGAAGGCAAGGGAGCCTATGTAAGAGTATTCTAAGTTCCGAAGGTGTTTAGTGAACGTGTAGCAGGGTAATACAGAGGCTCTCCAGGCTGGGCTGGTCTCCTTTCTCTTCAATCAGTGCTAAAGAATGCTTCCCTTTTTTATTTTCCAAATGCCATTTATTATGTTTCAACCTACCATTTTGGCTTCTGATTAAATACACGCATTTTAATTGTTTTCAAGAGAGAGAATTTTGTAGGTACTAATCTGTTTGGATCTACCCACAACCTCTTTTTTTTTATACCTTCTCTCTCTTCTTTCCTTCCTTGCTCCCTCTATCTTTTAAGTTTTTGTATTTGTTACTTCTAAAAATTTAAACCTCAATTGTTTGCAGGGAAAATGTATCTAAATAAAGTTATTGGGTTGACATTGGTTAGTAAAATTATATAGGTTTTAACTGTACAATTCTATGATACATCATCGGTATATTGCATTGTGTGCCCACCACCCAAAGTCAAATGTATTTTTAATCTAATAGTTATATTTTGTGGCAAGGTCCATATAAGATTATTTCTAGTTTCTTTTTCTACCAGGAGAATACCCACCCTGAAAGTGGATATTCTTATTGAAATAACAGAACAAACTGATTCATTGATTTGGAATAGGCATGCCCTTTGTTTGGAAGGGGCTTGGAATTAAAAAACAACAACAACTAGATATATCTTCTGGCCAGGTTGAAGCAAGTTATATGGTCTCTTTTTTAGAATCCCTAGAACTCTGAACTTAATCAAAATAAGAAGCACTGAACAGCTGAAAGGAATCACATTCTCAGGCACATGTAGCAAACAAGATCCAGGTTTTTTGGGGGTAGAATATAGGAGAACTCTCGAAATTCTGATTATGGGCCTAGAAAGACCTGATTAACTTGGCTTTGAAATTGTAAGTATACTATCTAAATCTGTGGGAAAGTTTATATTAAGTAAAAAGAGATGGAATAAAAAAAAACTTTTAGGATAGTCCCTGCTTTACCTAGTCAAATGTAATTGTTACAAACTAGAAGTAGAGCAAAGTGATTTTTTTTAAAGCAAATCTATCTATCTATCTATCTATCTATCTATCTATCTATCTATCTATCTATCATCTATCTATCATCTATATCTCCCCCATGGCTCTCAAGCTTTCTGTTTTTATTTGGACAGTAAGCTATGTTTAAAACATTTGATGAGTTTCTATCTTTGTACCTTCGAACTCATTTTCCCTAGCACAATCCTGTAAATGTAACTCTATGCTGTCTAAAATAGAAGGTAGCCCTGGACTGTTTGGCTCTGCGGTTAGAGCATCCACCTGCAGACTGAAGAGTCTTGGGTTCAATTCCTGGCCAAGGGCACATACCTTGGTTGCAGGTTTGATTCCCAGCTACTGTTGGGTGGGGCAGGAGGCAATCAATCAATGTGTCTTTACCACATCGATGTTCCCTCCCTCCCTCCCTCTCTCTTCACTCTCCCTCCCTCCCTCACACTCTACCTAAAAAGCAATGGAAAAATATCCTCAGGTGAGGATAAAACAATACATAAATAAATAAATAAACACAATTAATTAAAAAAATAAATAAAAGAGAAGGTAAAATAAACTGTGTATAGGAAACAAGGTGGTAACCAAGTACTGTGGGCTTCTAAAGAGAGTTCAAGGTATGTTATAAAAAGGCTTATTAAATTATTTTTTATTTTGCAGGGCTTGTTGTCTGTGAGGCACCTAACAACAAATTAGATAAATTCATGGGGGTTCTCTTTTGGAAGGACAGAGAGCATTCTCTCAACAATGAGAAGATCATCCTGAGGGGCTGTGTCCTGAGAAACACCAGCTGGTGCTTTGGAATGGTTATTTTTGCAGGTACAGCTGACTACCCAGGGTTGGTTCGGGGAATCCCTTCCTGACATATGTATGGGCACAGTCTCCAGCTCTCCAGGTCGGATGAACACAGGGCCTTCATTCTACCCAACATGCATATGTTGACTACAGAGTGCAGGAAACCAGGGGAAGACACCAATGCTCTGGAAGCAGTCTGTGTGGTCCCACCATGTGAGGAACCACTGACATCAAGAACTTATTCCTAAGGGTGCTTGGGCCTTATGACTCAGTGGGTGCTAGATGCCTTCTGCTTAATTTCGCTTTCTTTAACCCCATCTCAATCATTCCCATCATATATGTATTAATCAACTTGCCTTTAAAGTGGGGAAATAGTATGAAAGAAATCTCCCTACTCTGCTGTTAATTTTGTAGTTTGCAAAGGTCAAATAATTCTTTTGGAAAAGCTTTCTTGGAGCTCCCACAATTATTTCTATTTATACTCCATAGCTTCTTCTATTATTCATTAATAGGACAGTGGGCCCTGGAAAGACTGTGTGATGGAAGGGGGCGTGGGAGTCAGGGGAAGGCAGGGGGTGTCTTTTCTTTTTCCTTTTGGCTACTTTTCCATTTTCTATTTTATCTCCACAAGCCCAGGTGGCTCTCTCCAGCTAAGGAAGCTTCCAGTAGCACCATTTCATAAAGCCACTCAAATTGTACTCATGGCTTCAATCGCCAGCCCTTGATTTTTAAAAATTTTGTTTTTTGTGACACCAGATTAAGATGTGTTTTGGGCCCGTTGACTATATATGCAATCAAAATTGTCGTATTTTTCTTAACTGACTTTCCTCAACAACAACACAGTGTTCATTAAAGACTCAGAAGGGTTCCGATCCTAGAAAAGTCCTCCCATTTCTTCCTAAATGTTCTCAGCTGTGGTGTTAGCAAGGCTCTTGCTGCTTGGGACATAGCCAGTGAGAGGACTTGGGAAATCCCTAGAAATGAGGCACTGTATGTGCTTTTATCTGGGAATGAATCTGTTTTCATAATTCACTCATCAGTTACTTTCATTCTTTTGTCATAAACATAAACCTATGACCATATCTTTCTTATTTGTGTCTTTCTTGCATTGAGAAAAAAGAGAGTCAAGCTTAACCATTAACCTCCCTTTACCTTTTTACTTAATGAAGGGGAGACTTCTTGAAGGTCCTCTGATGGGAAGGGCCCTCCTGGTTTGCTCTCAGTCATCATAGAAATGGGAGTTCTTCATCCTAGGATTGGGCTTGAGCCCAAAATTTTGTTTGCATTTGTATGATCTTGTTTGAAAAGACTGACTCAGGACTGTGGTTCAGCTACAGCATGTTAAGCTAGAACAGCTGCTGTGAACCATGCAGGGGCCAAGTTTTCCCTCATAAGGTTGGCTCTATGGGAAAATGCTCCTACATAGAAGGAAGTGGGGTGGTAAGTTGAACAGGTCTTCCTCTAAGCAGTATAACAGAAAGTTCACAGAATTTGGATTGGACAGATCTGGGTTCAGACTTGTTTACCAGCTGTAGGATGTTAAGCTTTGGTTACTTAAACTTCTGATGCTTTAGTTTTCTGCTCTAAATGGAGACAAATATAAGTACATTAGACAGTCATTGTAAAAGCTCAATGAGACAATGCATATGGGAAGAGAATTTTTGACAAATGCTGTCTTCCTTCCTTTCCTGCTTCTCCTTTCTTTCAGCGTCAATTCAAAGTGCATAAGCTGAGAGTTGGGAAAATGGACTGCTCTTAGGATCTTGGCACAGGGCAGTGGGGGAACACCCTCTTCTTTTGTGATGTGGCCTGGATGTTTCCTGGCAGGAAACCTTCATAAGGCAGATATTTGTAATGCAGAGAATGCTTCCAGTAAATTTAGTCTGGGCACAGATGTTGACAAAAAGCCTAACTAGAATGAGGGAAGGCAGAGGAATACTTGGTTTTGTCAATTTCAGAGTTGCACAGATGAATGTCTCAGAATCCTCAAGTCTTGAGACATCTAATTTGGGAAACTAGCTACAGGTAAACACCTAGATGTTCTGAAAGTTATCCAAAATAAATGATTAACTATTCTTTCTGTATTATTACTCTCATTATATATACCATTGAGGATTGTGCATGGAATATAGTTGAGGCAGACAGGTTTACTTTACAAATCTATCATATATGAGGGTCTAATGTACATTAATAGCTGGGCCATACCTCCCTGGTAATGACTTTTTAAGCCCAAGAGAGGAGAAAGTCTTGTTTCTGGGAGTAGGAGACTTATTCATTTAAGGAGTCCGCTCCATTTTGGAGCACAGTAGGTTTTTGTGCTGGATGTCTTCTACCTGCCCCTCCTGTTACCCCTTCCCACTCTTCTCTCTGGCCTGCAGGCTGACTTATAGGGTTTACACTCATAGGTTTCCTTGAACTTTGGCTTTTACTTAGGCTGTGTCACTGGGGATCCCTGGGAAGACATAGATCAAAGGGAGAAAGAAGATTGAGATCAAAGTATTTATTCTTCCCAACTGTCTCCCTGAATTGTCACTTCAAATTAGCTGAGTCCCTCAACATAAAGTGACTCTTCTTCTAAAGGCTGCAAATTCTACATACCTTTGTCTGTTAAGGTCCAGTAATGTCTCTCTTTCCTTATCCCCTCCCTTCTGGCTTAGATGGAAACATTTTTATTGCTACTAAGTCCTTGGTTACTTCATTATCCTTTTTCTTTCCCTATACTCCCATGCACACTTTTGTATAGTCCCTTTATAAATGAACCTGTCTCCAGTTATCCTTGTTCAATGTCATCTATTTCCTCTTTGGATTCCGAATGAGTCATAGCCTTAAATATACATTGAATGGATGAGTCAGTGAATCACTAAGTTAATGCATTATTTCATATAATTTTTAAAATAGTGGTCAAGAGCAAGAGATTTAGAGGTAGCTAAATATGGGCTCAAATTCTGGCTCTGACACCTACCAGACAAGAAATCTTAGGTAAGTTACTTAAATTTTTTAAACCTCAGGTTCATTATTAGTAAACTAAGGATAACTAATCTGTTGGCTTGTTTTAAACATTAGCTGAGATAATAGATAAAAAGCACATATATACATTGCCTAATGCATAGCAGATGCTTAATAAATTAATTCATCAAGCAATTATTTATAGAGTACCTACTATGTGTCAGGCACTATGCTAATTACTCATTTTAAATTAATAATGTGAACAAAACAAATATTATCCCTTCACTCATGTGGTTTTGAGTCTGGTAGAAGACAGAGACTTTAACATCAAACAATTGTAGTAATGAATATCTAATCTCAAACTGAGAAAAGTGCTCTGAAGTAAAAGAACATGGACTCACAAGAGTATATAATGCAGGGACATGAAGGGAAAGAGCAAGTTAACTAAAAGGCACATTGTGGGTAAAGGAACTGTTGCAGGTGTGAGGATGGTGAGGTAAAAAACAAAACTCAAGCAGGCCAGTGTGGAGCATGAAGAGTAAGAAGGACAGAGATGAATGAGTTGCCTGAAGATGCAGATGGGGGCTGGACCATGTAGGACCCTGTGGTCTGTATCCACAATTTTGGTCTTTATCCTAAGAGCATTAGGAAGACATTGAAAGTTTTCAAACAAATGGTGTGTGTTTATATGTTACATTTCAAAAGTTCACTTCTGACTACAGTGTTTGTAAAGTTGATAAATAGCAGATCCCAGAAAAAAATGTATGACTATGGCGGGGAAGGAGGAAAAATATTGATTAGAATTGGGGACAGAATGGATTAAGGGAGACAAAGATACTAGGCTTTTGTTATAGTCCAGTTGAGAGATGATGGTACTTTGGATTAGAGTGTGAGTCATGAAGATAGACTGGCTCCTAGGTTTCTGTGAGCTTTCACAGCTGAATGAGAAGTGGTATCCTTCACTGAGGTGAGGGACTCTGGAGCATGGAGACCATGGAGGATAGAGACGGACAAATGACGAGATTACAAATGGGGCTGGACAAGGGCCACTTGAGAAGTCTAGGAAAGATTCAGGTGGCGATGTCATATAGGCAATTAAATATGTGCATTTATACATATGGATTTCTAGAGCTCAGAGGAGCAATCTGAGCTGGAGATACACATTTGGTCTATAAATGGTAATCGGAGTTGTCGTCTTAGGTGAGATTGCCCAGGGGAGGTGAATTGAAAATGTCGAGAAGAGGGCCGATGCCTGAGTCTTAGTGAATCCCAGTATTTTATGGCTGGGTAGAGAGTGGTGGTCATCATGGAAGGAAGGAGCTACCAAAGAGCTAGAAGGAAAAGCAGGAGAAGATTGTAACATGGAAGCTAAAGGAAGAGTGTGTTTCAAAAGAATGAAATAGACAACAGAGTCAAAGGCTGCTGAGAGGTCAAAGAAGGCATAGAAAATATTGGTGATAACACCAGATCTGTTTGAGTGATTGGCCCAGGAACTAGGTTGAGTAACGAGTAAGATATGAGGAAACATGGACCGTTGAGTATAGAAATGTTTTTCAAGAGATGTGGCTTTGAAGGCAAGACGAGCTGTATATGTATATCAACAGCTGTGCTGTGGATATATTTAAATAATTGCTTAAAAATCCATTAAATGGATTCTTTGCTAGTCTGTGCATGTATGTATGCCTAAGAAATGTAAATTTGTAGCATAAAACTGACCTGTCCTTATTTCAGCTTTTAGCAATCACAAACTTTACTTGCCTTTTGTTATCTTTACTGTAAAATTAATATTTCCCACCCTCATTGTCCACATGATTTTAATAAATGATTTTGAGAAAATGTGGGTGGCCTCCTTTATACAGCAGTGGCTGGGAACAGGGCACTGGGTACAATTTTCGACTCAAACAGTGAATTGTTCTGAGACCCAAACTTTGCTTCAATTTGTTTTCAAAGTAAATGAAAGTCTTTAAGAATGTGCTCATTCTTCCCTGACTTTCGGAATGGCATGTAACTGCATGTGTGTCTCCCCTTCTTTTTTTCATTTCTCCTCCCCTTCTGTATTAAATGGCTTCATGAACTGA